GGAGAGAGTGTGACTTTCTAGCCTATTGTTAAGGCATTTATTTGTACAGAAACATAGGATTTCTAAGCCCAGCTTCAATGCTTGTTTATGCGTACTTCAGATTAGTCCATCAAAAAACAGTATTGGGAAGTATTTTATGTAATGCTTTCAGTATTTTATGTAACACTTTCAGTAATAAAGTTGGCATGGAAAAGTAAGAATGTACGAGTGGAACTGTTGATGGTGTAAGCATGGGAGGGAGGTTCTCTATCAACATAGGAGGACCAAATACTACACTGGAAGGACTAGAGAGGAATTGATGTAATAGGAATGTGGTGAAATTTAGGCCATGCATATATGTGCTAACAGCAAGAATTTCTAATATAAAGTGATAAATGGAACTGTTACTGGAGAAGAGTCCAGATATACTGAACAATCAGAGGATGATTATGAAACGTTAGTACTTCTGGTAGAGACAGGAAAATACTTGCACTTCCATGCAGAATACTGGTAAGGCCAAATCTGAGAAAAATGATGATCAAAAATAAGACTGAGAGAGTCTGATTTCTACCTCTTAGGACATTAGAGGGTTAATTGCCAAAAGAAAGAACACTTATTTCTGCAAAAAGCTTATTCATCCATGTATAATTGTCTATGAATCCATGAAGCTAGAAACAATATAGAGGTTCCTATGTATCAACAGAATAAGGCTCATAGCCTTCCAACAGAAGGAATAGGAAACCCAGTTGGTTTGAGGTGGAACTCAGCAAGTTTAATAAAGATATTACCTGGCACGGCTGCCTTCCTAATAGAAGGACTGGACTTAATGGCCCAAGAGATCCTCTCTGATGACAGTTCCCCTCAGATCCAGTTTGCTTGTCATTTCTGCTGAAATGGCAATGTATTTGGAGGGAACGCTAGCAAATGGGGAAAAAATGCCAGTTTCTTGTATAAAGTTGTGGAGCTCTTCCAGAACCCCCTGGCTGATTTGGCTGGAGGAGATGAACCCTTGGCAGGATCTCCATCACTGGGGAGTTCTTAATGATACACAGGGTGAAATCCTGGCCCCTGTGAAGTTGATGGAAGTTTTGCTATTAATTTCTGTGAGGCCAGGATTTCACCCTGGAAAGGGAGTCAAAAGTACATGCATGCTTTCAGAGACAGAGTGGCTGATTAAATACATCTGGTGCACTGCTCTTTTATCAATCATTGATAAAATAGTGCCTTTTAAATATAAACTTTGGGTAAGCTTAACCGCAAAATTCAAACATGTCCCATTACAAGCCTTAAAAGCAAAATTTGTCTGCTTTTTGTCTGAAAAGAACAGAAATCATGGTTAAAAACCCCACATACCCGTACCCATCCACTCCAAACCCCTGTAGTACTTGATGTTCCGCTGAAATGAGCGATTAAAGCATAGAAAAGCCAGTAAAAATATTTCTAGGTGATACATGAATCTTTGTCCTCCAAGGATGTCATCCAAAACTATGTTCCTCCTCAGTTGATTGCTGAGCAGTTAACACCAGCTAGGAGTTCATCTGGATTTCAGCACGGGCCGTGCTTTCGCAGTGCCACCCAGCACTGCCACTTCTGACGTCCCAGAGGGGCTCAGGACGGGCAGCGAGCCCCCCCGTCCGCGCTCGCTCGAATCACGACGCGTGGATATCGACGGGGCCGGACACCCTGCGTGGTGCCGTGCAGCAGGACAGAGAGGGCTTGGAAAACACTCGCCCAGGCCCCGCGTTTAACCTGACACGTCTAGGGTGTGATGCAGAGCCTCGCCACGGTGCGTGACCTGGCGAAGCAGGAGACACGCACGTCCCCACCGTGCGCCTCTCTGCAACGGGCATGTGAACCGTGCAGCGCCGGCACCGCCGGCCGGGACAACCAAACCGCTGTGGGCAGGGCAGCCTCCTTGCTCGCCCTGCCCAGCCTGGCATCTGAAGAACAGCCTTCCTCCCGGCCGCCCTCCCAAAGCAGAGCGGGACCCTCCCCGGTGAGTGCCGCCCCGCCCGCGGCAGCTCCCGCCGCTGAATTTGCTCCGGTCCCTTAATTGTTTCTCTCTCACCAAGAACTTTGTTTACAGTCCCTTGTGCGGCGAGCTGCATCCCCCTCTTATGCTTGCTCCGGGCTGGTGTCCGCCGCAGTCCCGTCCGGCAGTCGGGAGGTAAGGCTCGGCACGGCACGGCTCCGCACACCATACTATAGCATGGTCTGGCTCGGCTCGGCTCGGCTCGGCTCAGCTCAGCCTGGCACGCCGCCGTACGGGCCAGGGGGGTGGAAGGG